TTATTAAAATATTATTTTATTTATTATTATTTCATTATTTTACTTTAATTGTATTATTTTTCTAATTTATTTTATTTTATCAGGAAACCAGTCACTGGTTTTTAGATTTTTACTTTATTTTATTTTTATTATGCTTTTATTTTATTTTATTATTTTAATTGTTTTCTATTTATTTTATAATTATTTTAATTTCTTGTTTATTTAATTATTATTTTATTTCATTAGGAAACAGATTAGAGGAAAAATAATATATTATTTCCACCACAATTTAATTTGATACAATTTTTATTTAATTTCCAATATTAGAATCAATGCCCACTACATTATTTTTTCTTTTATATTACTTTATTATTTGTTTTCAACACTCCGTGCCTTTTTTTATTTTATTTTATTTAATTTCCAAAATTACAATCAGAGCCAACTACATTATTTTATATTTTATTTTACATTATTTCATTTTACTTTATTTTATTTTTACTTTTGTATTTTATTTTATTGTACTTTTTAATTGTTTTTATTTTATTCAGTTCAGCAGCACTAGCTACAGGCGCTGTAGTGAATTGCGGTGTAGTTGCAGTTCGTCTCCGCGCCGCGGCGTGTCGCTGTACCGCATCAGCTGCTGCGCGTCGGAGGGGAAGTGCGTCAGTGGTCCGTGTGAACAGAGGTCTCCACAGCTCACGGTAAGAGTTTACTCTATGTCTCATAACTATCATAAACATATGAAACAACACCGAATCTGAAGTAATCCGCTGTGACGCCTTACATACGCGTTCATGAACACTCGCGTAACGCATCAGAAACTCAAAGACACGTGGAGGTTGAAAACCACACAGATTTACACACAGCCGCTGATAAACACACATGGGCCTGGTTTCACAGACGGGGCTTAGACTAAACCAGGATTAGGCGATAGTTCAATTTGGACATTTAAGTCATTTTTATAAACGTGCCTTGAAAAACACATTACTGGTGTGCAGTGCAGGACTTAGGGGGGCGGGGGCCGTAATGTGACTTTAACATTGAAAGTTAATGTGAATAAAAACATTGTAAGTTATGTAGTACTTATCATAACACTTTCATTGAACAGAAAGAGAGTAACGAACATTTACATTATCAAAGAACATTTCCACTGACAGTCTAGAGTTCAAGCACTCTCAAAAACTCCCATTAAAATCACTGAAGCTGTTTACACTGTGAAAGTAATATCTTACTTACAGATTCATACACACATCTGCAGTTTGTTGTTCCTAACGAGAGAATTCGCCAGAAAGAGGTATTCAGTCAGCGAGCAAGTGAAGAAAACACCAGCATTTCAGCGATGACTCATCTGAACGCCTCTGATTGGCCCTTGCATTCATAAGCTCAACAGCATCGTGTGTGATTGGTTAATGCGCAGCGCTGTAAAAACGCGTCTGTCTCTGACTCAGCGCCAGCCAGCGAAAGCAGGCTTGAGTTTAGCAGCTGATGGTGTCTGAGGGGAATATATATATATATATATATATATATATATAGCCACACGTACATCGTTATTGTTATATAAAAATAAAGCAAATTACAAACCATAAGAAAGATACAATAGATACACATTAAATATTAAATAAACTTGTTTTTCTAATACAGTAGGTTTAAAATGTATACTTTATTTAACATCTTTTGTTGTTTGATTAACATTAATGAGACAGACAGGTAGGCCTATTTAATTAGGCTGCTGTCCCTTTAAGACCGAATGAACGTAATATACTGACACATATTCGGTTTTAA